AAACAATGCTGATGGCCTAGAAGCAGGACTGTCCCATAGAAATATAGCACAGACCACGTAATGGAACATAAAAGTTTTTGGTAGCCACATTTAAAAAGAGAGAAAGAAACAGGTTAATAATATATATTCTTTAATCCAATAGATCTAAATTATCATTCAACCTGTAATCAATACTTGAAGATTATTATTGAAATTTTTACTTTTTTTTTTTTTAATACCAAGTCCCTCGTCGTGGCCATAAAACTGGTGCAGAGGCACCATGCACAGGAGTGGTGTGCTCACTCTGAGCTCACATCTGCTAGGCCTCCAACTGTTAACGTAGAAAATCAAACAAGTGTTCTCATTGGTTGGCAACCCTCAGCATGTCTTAGAGAGTAGAGAGGAAACATCTGGGAGGACTGTTACTTTAACCCAAAACATTTCCCAAAATGACAGCATTGGTAGGTTAAGTGAAAGTGGCTGAGATCTTGAAAGAAAATGAGTTGGTGGGCGCCTGGGTGGCTCAGTCGTTAAGCGTCTGCCTTCAGCTCAGGTCATGATCCCAGGGTTCTGGGATCAAGTCCCGCATCGGGCTCGGCGGGAAGCCTGCTTCTCCCTCCCCCACTCCCCCTGCTTGTGTTCTCTCTCTCGCTGTGTCTCTCTCTGTCAAATAAATAAATAAAATCTTAAAAAAAAAAAAAGAAAATGTGTTGGTGAGCCCCGTACAGGAAACTTGAACTTAGATGTTTCTAGACTAGAAAGTATCAAAGGAAAGGTAGGCAGGTATTCTTGAGACTGTGGCAGAGATGGTGACTCAGAAGCATTAATTTAACTGACTGTTATGCTAAAGAAAGATACAGTGGGAAGACCCAGTGGGTCTTCTGATGAAAGCTTTCTGATGACTCAGATTTTAAGGGGGTATTTTCAAAAGATGGAAAGTAAGGGTAGCAAGCAAGGATGAATATGTGTAAGAGTTGTGTTGTGGAATTGCAACATAAAATAAACAGACTTGCAAAAGAACAGGCAGATTGAAAGAGCCTTCAGAGTTTGGTTTGGTGCAGTTCCAGTGACTGGGAAAAGAATCTCTGCTTTGGACTACTTGTGTTTGCATTAAATGATTAAATAGAAATTAAGTTAAATTAAGTGAAAATAAAATTTTTACTGCTTTTGTCTTCTCCATTAAGAACAAAGATGTTTGGGCGCCTGGGTGGCTCAGTCAGTTGGGCATCTGCCTTCGGCTCAGGTCATGATCCCAGGGTCCTGGGATCAAGTCCCGTATTGGGCTCCCTGCTCAGCGGGGAGTCTGCTTCTCCCTCTGCCTGCCACTCCCCCTGCTTCTGCTCTCTCTGTGTCAAGTGAATAAATAAAATCTTTAAAAAAAAAAAAAAAAAGAACGAAGATGTTCAAAAGGGTTGAGACAAATTAAATCCTACAACAGAGAAAGAATTTGTGAAAAGAATTGCCGAGCCCTTCTGTGATCTTTGAGGAAGTCTGGGGATCTTCAAGGGGAGTTTAATAATGACAACTCCTCTTTCTTACACAAATCCTGAATTTTTAAGATGAAGGCATGTGGGGTCAAAATATCCCCTTTACTACTGAGAAAGCTGATCTTGGAGAATGTGAGCTTCCTAATACTGAATTACAAACTTAGCCAGCAGTAACTGGAATGGGGCAACCCTCCCTATAGGTTTGCTGCCAGAAACAAAGGGCAGGAGGCCTGGAGTGTTATGAGCAAGGTGGGCACCAACAAGGAAGTGAGGAGAATGGGGAAGTTTTTTAAATAATTTTTGAAACAATAAGGGAAGTGGCTTAGACTGATGAACTTGGTGCCAATTCTAGGCAAGATTCTAGACTAGATATCAAAAATACGGCTTTTTGAGCACCTGTGGTAAGAAATCATGAATCATAAATTTGCTAACAAGTCTTAACTGATTTTCTTTATTAATTAGTTAAAAAATCTTGGATTATAAGAATGATACAGTTGTCGAAATCTCTATTTTGACAAGCCATTTGACAAACTGTCTCTTTGTTTTAGACAAGATGTATAAATATAAGTTAAATGCTAGAACAGTTGTGTGGATTAGTAAACGATGGACTATTCCCAGCCCAATCACTTTCGGTTGGAAAGAAGTTTTTACTGACATGCTACTAGATTATCCTCAAGCTCTTGTCAAGTTCAAGATTCCCATCAATGACCAGATAGGGAAACACAAACTGGGACTAAGTAGAATAATAGGTTAAAAAAGAATTTGGTGGAATGACTGTTAATAAGTTAACATATAATATTCATGGGGTACCTGGCTGGCTTATTAGGTGAAGCATGCAACTCTTGATCTCAGGGTAATGAGTTCCAGCCCCAAAATGGGTGTAGAGATTACTTGAAAAAAAATTTTAGGCACTTGAGTGGCTCAGTCGATTAAGCATCTGCCTTCAGCTCAGGTCATGATCCCAGAGTCCCGGGATTGAGCCCTACATTGGGCTCCCTGCTCAGCAGGGAGCCTACTTCTCCCTCTCCTTCTGCTGCTCCCCCTGCTTATGCGCTCTCACTCTCTCTCTCTGTCAAATAAATAAATAAAATCTTAAAAAAAAAAAAAAAACAGCAATTTAAATCTGGGCGCCTGGATGGCTCAGTCATTTAAGTGCCCAGCTCTTGATTTCGTCTCAGGTCATGATCTCAGGGTTGTGAGATCAAGCCCCAAGTCAGGCTCTGTGCTGGGCTTGGAGGCTGCTTAAGATTCTCTCTCTCCGGGACACCTGGGTGGCTCAGTTGGTTAAGAGTCTGTCTTCAGCTCAGGTCACGATCCCAGGGTCCTGGGATAGAGTCCCATATCAGGCTCCTTGCTCAGCGGGGAGCCTGCTTCTCCTTCTGCCTGCTGCTCTCTCCCTCTATCTCTCATGAATAAATAAATAAAATCTTAAAAAAAAAAAAAAACAGCAATTTAAATCTGGGCGCCTGGATGGCTCAGTCATTTAAGTGCCCAGCTCTTGATTTCGTCTCAGGTCATGATCTCAGGGTTGTGAGATCAAGCCCCAAGTCAGGCTCTGTGCTGGGCTTGGAGGCTGCTTAAGATTCTCTCTCTCCGGGACACCTGGGTGGCTCAGTTGGTTAAGAGTCTGTCTTCGGCTCAGGTCATGATCCCGGGGTACTGGGATCGAGCCCCGCATCAGGCTCCCTGCTCAGCGGAGAGCCTGCTTCTCCTTCTCCCTCTGCCTGCAGCTCTGCCTGCTGGTGCTCTCTCTCTATCTCTCTGTCAAATAAATAAATAAAATCTTAAAAAAAAAAAAATAAATAAAAATAAAATATAATATTCATTTATTTAATAGATATTTATCAAGCATCTACTATGTGCTGTGCACATAAAGATCCTAAGGTCAAATCGTAAGTTAATACAACTCAACCCAGCTGCTTAAATATTACATAGGAGAACAAAACCTATTTTAAAATATTGTAGATTTTAATTGACAGTAAGCTTAGTGTGTGAGTTGGGAGTTAGGATGCGTTCATCAGAGAAACGGAGATCTCAGGCATTGTTAGTAAAAGTCTGGCTTTTAACAGAATGGTTAGTGATGGCCAGGTCTACTTGGTACTCGACCACTCTAGAAAATGGCTTTCTGTCCTGGGCTCTGCATTGAGAAATTGGATGAGATACGCTTGAAAGAACTGATCATGTTTAGGCTGAAGATGAGACACAAAGAACTGTAATTGTCTCTAGACATTTGAAGAGCTGTCCCTGTGGAATAATATGAGCGTTTATGAAGTGCATTTCTAAGCCTTTGATGTGGATTAACTCATAACATCCTCAATCACTAAAGTTAGGAAAATGAGGCTCAGAAGGGCTAAGTAAGTAGCTTGCCCCGAGTCACACACCTTAGAAGTGGCAGCCCACGCAGTCTGCCTCCAGCACTACACACTTGACCAGTGTGCGACCTGCCACCCATGGAAGATTACGTTTGTTCTCCGCGGTACCAGCTGGTTCAGTGGGTTCGGAGAATGAAAGTGCAGGGAAACTCACTTCAGCTCAGTGAAAACATCTTAGACCAGCAGTCCGAAGGTGGGAGGGAGTCTTTTCTCTGTCCCTGATGGTTCTGCAGCCTAGCCTAGCTCACTCCTGAAAACCGTGGAGAAGGAACGGGTTGAGTCATTTGACCTTTTAGGCTCCTTTGCTCTGCCTCTCTTGGACTCCCGAGTTTTTGGTATGAGAAGTCATGAATTGAAACTCCAGTGTCTCTTATTTACAGGCATGTGGGGCCAAAATATCCCCTTTACTGCTGAGAAAGTTGATCTTTCTTTTTTGTACAACAGAAATACTTTGTTTTAGGCTTTATTATTTTTATGAAGTTTGATATATTTTGTTTCCATTTCCAGTAACAATTTCTCAGGCAAGAGTCATATTGTCATTAAAACTTTTTGTCTTGCAGAAGTCTTCCTGATTTTAAATTCATAATTTTTATTGCAGAAAAATTAGAAAGCCTAGGAAGAGAATTTAAAAGCTCCTTTTCTAAAAAAGATTTTGTCTTGGGCGACTAGGCTCAGTTGTTTAAGCATCTGCCTTCTGCTCAGGTCATGATCCCGGGATCAAGCCCCGCATTGGGCTCCCTGCTCAGTGGGGAATCTGTTTCTCCCTCTCCCTCTGCCTGCCACCCCCCGCCCGCTTGTGCTCTTTTTGTCAAATAAATAAATAAAATCTTTAAAAAATTTTTTTAAATAAACTAAAAAGATTTTATCTTTAGGTAATCTCTACTCCCAACATGGGGCTCGAACTTACAACCCCCAAGATCAGGATTTGCACGCTCCACCGATTGAGCCAGGCAGGTGCCCCTAAAAGCTCTTATAATCTCACCGCTCAGAGATAACCATTGTTAACACTTTAGTGTATTTCTCCTGATATTTAATATTTTTCACAAATATTTTTCAAGGAAAACCATTGATGCTTGCTTTAGACCTATTAAGACCTTTTTACAGAAAAAAAAATGTTTCGTTTTGGTAAGTTCTGAAAAATGCATCTTTTTTTTCTTGCTAGGTTTCTGCCTCAATGCTCAAGCAGTTTCCCAACAGTGGCCTGAATCCAGGTCTTTTCAATGTGGGGCCCCAGTTATCTCCTCAACAAATTGCCATGCTGAGCCAGCTTCCACAAATTCCCCAGTTTCAGTTGGTGAGTAGCAGATTTTCCTCCTATAGCTAAAAAAAAAAAAAAAAAGTTATTTGCTTTTTTTTTTTCCCCTTTAACTTCGATTTGCTTCATTTTATGCATGCTTAAGGGTTAATGTCTCAGCTCCACTCGAGGTAAATGTGACCAGTGGACCAGACCTGGGTAGTACTTCCCTCCTAGGTGCTTGATTCCGCCGCCGCACTCGGGTGCACGACCCACGAGGGTCTCAGTAAGTCCAGTTAGGAGCCGGTGCCCCCCCCTGTGTTGTAGGCGTGTCAGCTTCTCCTGCAGCAGCAGCAGCAGCAGCAGTTGCTGCAGAACCAGAGGAAGCTCTCACAGGCCGTGCGCCAGCAGCAAGAGCAGCAGGTACGTGGGATTGGGGGGGTCCCCCTAGTGCTCTGTGTGAGGACTGCAGGGCTGCGCCTCCGAGAGCAAAACACCAGCCACATGCAGTCTCTTCGGGGAGGCTCAGGGCGTTGGCTTACCAAGTGTCCGTCTTCCCTCTGGGTCCCCCTGGCTCTGGACTCCTGGCCTCCAGCTGGCTCGGATGGTGAGCGCCCTGCAGCAGCAGCAGCAGCAAAGGCAGCCTGGCATGAAGCACTCGCCCTCCCATCCCGTTGGGCCCAAGCCACATCTGGACAACATGGTACCCAGCGCTCTGAATGTGGGGCTCCCAGACCTTCAAACCAAAGGGCCAATACCTGGATATGGTTCTGGTAAGTGGTCAGTAGTGAAGATCACCTTTAAAAAAAATGTGCTGGTCGTGTGCTGAGCCTCTGGTAGAGATGGGTCCTACGTGACCCCCTGTTTGCACAGCAACCACACGAGAGGGAGAAGTATTCTCATCCCTGTCTTACAGCTGATATCCTAGCATCTTGGCAGTTTTCCAAAGCCGACCACACAATTAGGAAATCGCAGAGCTATGCCTCTGACTTCTCTGGGTCCAGGGGAGACTTTTACTATTTAGCAATGGCAACCTGCTCTTCTGCCACCGGGAATTTTTAAAAACCAGTTAAAACAGGGCGCCTGGGTGGCTCAGTCGGTTAAGCGTCTGCCTTCGGCTCAGGTGATCCCAGAGTCCTGGGATCAAGCCCCGCATCGGGCTCCCTGCTTAGTGGGGAGCCTGCTTCTCCTTCTTCCTCTGCCACTCCCCCTGCTTGTGCTCTCTGGCTCTCTCTCTCTGTCAAATAAATAAATAAAATCTTTAAAAAAAAAAAAAGCCAGTTAAAACGTTTGTACATGCTGTGAGTGCCACACGCATCTGAGGTTATAATCTGTTAAAATTATGTACAAGCTGAGGTGTTTAGCTCTACTGATAGAATTTCCTTCTTGTGGAAAAATGGAGAACTAAAATGAAGCTGATGAGGCAAACTGATAAAATTCTTCTGATATTAATATTTCATTTGATTTAAATAGAATTAGCACAAGTAAGGTTATACCTTTGACATTCATCAAGAATTTGTTGGCAGGCAAATGGTAGCTCTTTCAGAATGGGGGAACATGTTGTAAGCAGAATCCAATCAGTGAGGCAACAGTGACTTAAAAATAAAATGTAAAAATTAAAAAGGTACCACACACCACAGTGGGTTTCTTTGCAGAGTGACAAAATTCAGGTTTTATTTTGGTAAAGAAGATACTGTTCTGTGCAAACTCAAAAATAAGAGTTGGGGAGACCTGAAACCCATGCTCCTATGAAACAAAGTGACCCTGGACACATAGCCCTGTTCTCTGCTCTAGTTCTGTGGGGTGCCCACTTCCTGCTGGGGTGTCCACATGCAGAGAGGAACAGAGACTTCAAGGATGCCTTGATCCTGATCCTGAATAGTTTTCCTGAGAACCGACTTAAATTCAAAATAACCTTTCTTCCACTTGACATAAAAGAAGAGCAAACTCTCCACCAGCTCCTGTCTTACTAGGGCATACCCATCTTGGGTGTAGAAATCCCGGGTGCTGAGCAAGGGGGAAGCTTCCCATAATGACTAATGAAGGTGTCATTAACTCTGTATTTCCAGGCTTCACCTCCTTAATCATGTTTTCTGTTAAGGCTGAAACTTGTCATAAGAACCTGGGTATTTTGGTATGTGTCCAGTTATTGTGAATTTAGATGCCGTCTATGAGAATAAAGCAGGGCAGCTTTGCTTCTTCCATCCCTTTTTGTTAGAGAGTTCATGGTTCTCAAAGTAGAGTCTAGTCATACAAAGCAAAGTGAACATCTGGAAGCCCCGGGCGGCTTTTCCACATGTTTAAATGCACAGTTCTTTTTAGCTCTTTTCTGTACTCATCCCCTAGGGGCATGTCTTAGGTGGAAAGAAAAGTATCTTCAAACAACTTGAGTAACATAGGTTAGTGACACAGACACTGTTAAATACACATTTTTTTCCACAATTTATCAGATAAAACTTGTGAATAGACCTTTTATGTGCTTTTCTTTAGGCTGGGTGTGCATTAGTCAATTGGTTGTTAAAAACCTAACATCATGATGTAATTGTTCCAGAGACAGTTCTTACAACGTCTGTAATATTTTCTGCCTTTTCTTAAAAAGTAAAATTACAGGGGTGTGGCGAGGGGGAAGTGAAATTATATGCTAGCTGTGAATCTGTTAGTTTTTAGCAGCATACCTTCTCATTTATCAAATATATAGAAAAATTTGATCGTAGTGTCTTATTAGATTAGTGGTGTTATTTGTGATTATTATACTGGAGGTATAACTTTCCATGATGGCTGAAGGATCAGAGTTCTGTATACATACATACATTTACTGAGGAAATGGCATGGTTTTTTTTTTATCATACTCTTGTTTCAAAGTAACTTACACATTTAACTATGCACTACAGTCCAAATTAAGTAAGGAGAAAAACATATTGACTCGCTAATTTATTTCCATTTGGTAACTTATGAATAAATTTTATTAGGTCTTTATCATATTAATTGTGATCTGACCACTTATAGATCGATCTGCCTTATAAGATGCACTTTGCAATTTATTTCACAGTTAAAAATGTCCTTAATTCCTTAATATTATGACATTTATTTGAGTTGAAAAATACATTTTGGGATTGAAAGTAAATCCGATTTGGCTGCCTGTTTTGAATAAACTACAGCTATAAGATTTTGCTGAAAATATATTTAACGCATACAGAGAGGTTAAATTTATATAGCAAAGATGTAAAAAATGAATAGTATTTCAATTTTCCTACTGCTGAGTATTAAACTAAAAAAGACACCTGTAGGTGAAAGAGGAGCACGAATAATTAAAAGTCTCTTAGTAAGTCCCAGTAAAGCCTCTTTGGGTGTATTTTCTCAAAATTAAAAAGTTGAATGAGTTTAATGACTGCTTAACTGATCCTTGACTGGTTGTTTTTATAAAATAGACGGTTTCTCATTCTCTGCTTTTAGCAGAATTGAAAATCTACCTAACTGAATTGTCTGGGGATGATGACCTATGTAAACATGTTTTAGCATCTATGTTATTGAGCTGAGGGGAAGGGAATATAGCCTAAATGGGAATTCACAGAAATAGGAGATGTTATAACAAGACTCCTTCTTTTCCTGTCTAATTACTTATATAAGATTTCTTGGTGCTTTTTTTCTATTGTAATTTAAAAAATAGGAATAGTGTGAACTCCGTCTCATATCTCTCATTCATAGGTATCTGAACCGTTCGAGAAGTAAAGTCCCTCGTCGTATTAGAAAATGTCCCAGGGCGCCTGGGTGGCTCGGTTGGGCATCTGACTCTTGATGTCGACTCAGGTCTTGATCTCAGGGTTGTGAGTTCAAGCCCCATGCTGAGTGTGGAGCCTACTTTAAAAAGCCTACTTAAAAAAAGAAAAAGAAAATGTATTTCCAATAAAATTTCACTTTTCATGTTTAAAATTTATCAAAATTTGGTGGCGCCTGGCTGGCTCAGTTGGTAGAGCATATGACTCTTGATCTCAGGGTTTTAAGTTTGAGCCGCATGTTGGGTAGAGATTACTTTAAAAAAAGAATATTTGTGTTAAATGGGCAACTGTGGGTGATCTGTTTCTTTTATAATATATTTTTATCATTATAAAAGCACTGATTTGTTTTTTAATCTATAGTAAAAGGAAAAGCAGGAAAGAAAGAACTAATATAGACAAAGAGCGTGAAAGCGGAAATCCCAGTTTCCTCAAGGAGGTGACACGGAGCCAAGCAGTAATGATGAATAAACAGACGGTGAAACAGCGTGCGTGGCAAAGAAAGTAATTCTGGCCAGGATAGATAAGGGAGGCCAAGGGTTGGATTTGTAGGAATGATAAGATCGGTAAAAGGGATGTACTGGGGAAATGAGTTCCTAGGAGAGCAAGGGGCATGTCTTATTTCTGTTTGTCCCTCAGCTCCTCACAGAGCCTGGCACTAATGAGGCTTTCCGTGAGTGTGCACTGAACTGAACGGAAGGATTGTTTGATTGGAGCTCAAGTTCTGTTTGGTGAGCTGAAGAATTACAGGGAGGCCGCTTGGTGGACCGAGGAAGTGTGGTTTTGATGAAGTAGCAAGGACAAAAAGGTCCGTACTTTGCTGGGCTTTGAGGTGTGGCAGCTCACAAATAGTGTAGAGGTTGTGAGTCGTGCCGGTTACTGCGGGGCATCGAAGAAAGTCACAGAACCATGTACAGCCTTGCACTGATTATTCCTCTCCTGGTTTTGGGTTCGGAGGTTAAACCTTTCAAGGCAGTTTTATCTCCTGTTCTCCTCACATCCCTCTGGGTGTTTCCTTACCAAACTTTGTTACTTAGTTATGATGCTGCCATGCTTTGGTGGTGTTTGATTTCCCAAGTTTCTAATGAGAAAGATGCCCACTTAAGGTTCAGATGGAACTGCTCAAACTGTCCCCTCATCCTAAGATATGTAGAACTCTTACTAATTTTCTACGCTTCACATGTCACAAAAGGACTCTAAGCAGCTGAAATTAAATAATTGTAATTCACTGTGGGTTCTAAAGACATTTCAGAGCAACTGTAAAGAATCTTTAAAGTAATGTGGGGGCGCCTGGGTGGCTCAGTTGGTTAAGCATCTGCCTTCAGCTCAGGTCATGATCCCAGAGTCCTGGGATCGAGTCCTGCATTGGGCTCCCTGCTAAGCGGGGAGCCTGCTGCTCCCTCTCCCTCTGCCATTCCCCCTGCTTGTGCTATCTCTCTCTCTGTCAAATAAATGAATGGAATCTTTAAGAAAAAGAAATGTGTAAGGAATCATTCTTTATCTTCTTACTAATCCTCACATTCTTTCTAATCGTCACCAGAATCCTAGGTTATTCTCAAAAGCTCTTCCTCCATGATTGGAACCAAGCTTTCGAATAGCCTGGAATCCAGGCACCTTGGGTTGGTTTTCTCTGTCAAAGGCAGAGGTGCTACTTGCCCAAGGAGTAACCCACTTAGGCCATTAAAGCTTCTGTCAGAGGGGGCGCCTGGGTGGCTCAGTCAGTTAAGCGTCTGCCTTCAGCTCATGTCATGATCCCAGGGTCCTGGGATCGAGCCCCATATCAGGCTCCCTGCTCAGCGGGGAGCCTGCTTCTCCCTCTCCCTCTGCCTGCTGCTCTGCCTACTTGTGATCTCTCTCTCTCTCTCTCTGTCAAATAAATAAATAAAATTAAAAAATAATAATAATAAATAAAGCTTCTTTCAGAGAAAGGCCTTATTCCTTTCAACCCTGCTATCCTCCAGTCTCATTTCAACTACATAAGAGAAAAGAAAATACCTTAAACTCTTCTTTTTTAAAAAATCATTTAATATGAAATATTTCCAGCTTATTCCAGGAATTTCTGCTCCCCACCCCCACCCTCCAAGTAATCACATGGACTAGTAAAGTTGCTTACAGTGTGAAGGAGCAGTGTTCTTTATATTAATAGCAACATTTTAAATATAGGTCAAGGTGTTAGGAATGGATTTATTATGCATTTATAAAACTGTCTCTGACAACTCAGAAGCACAGGGAGAGAACGTGGCCTGGGCCCTCATGGGATTTGGATTAAGTGGAACCTCAGAGTCATTGAGGCACCACCAGATGGTCGGAAAGGCAAGTGGGTACAGCGAGGAGCTTGGCCTAGCTGGAGTGGCACATCTTCTCGAGTAACAGTAGACGGGCTTTTGACTCCTGCAGCTGCCTGAGCTTTTACATTGTGGGACCCCTGCTCCACCTCCCTGGGATGGCTGTTCTACACTCACTGCAGTCCATCCTCATTTTTACTCTGGCTATTCATTGTTCTTCCTCTCCTCTGTTCATTTGTTTATTTTCGTGCTTCATTTTACTTTTTATGTTAAGTACATTCTGACCCACAGTGGATGGTGGGACCTGTGAGACCCCCGTCAGCAAGCCTCTCATACTGATTCTCACCTGTCCAGCCCTGTGCAATGGGAAGACATTACCCACCTACACTCACGCTAAAAGCCTGACACCTGAGGCTTACCTGGGGCTCATGGCAAAGTAAACTCTGAAGCTCTCTGTCATTGCCTATTCAGGCTTCGTCATCGCATAAAGATTTCTTTCAAATCTCTTACATTCTGCCTTGACCTCCATGTACCCCATTTTTGTTCTGCCAGTTCTTTTTCTAAAATACAGACTTTTTTTTTAAGTTTATTTATTTTTAGTAATCTCTGCACCCAATGTGGGGCTCAAACTCATGACCTTGAGATTAAGAGTTGCTTGCTCTTCCAACTGAACCAGCCAGGCGCTCCTTAAAATACAGACTTGGATTTCTTTCTCTCACTTGTTAAAAAACTTCTTTATCTCCTGTCTTAGAGAAAAAAGGCCCAAAGTCTTTGGCCTGATACATAAAGAACCCTACAGGACATAACTCCTCATTTCTCCCCCATCTCCTGTCACTCTGCCTCACTTCATCCATGGTTAACCAAGCACTGGAGTCACACTGAACTCCTCATTCCCTAAATGTACCAGATGGTCATCAATCAGAGCTTTGTACTTGGTATCCTTGACTTACTTGCATACCTGCCATCGGCCCTAAATCAAATGTCCCTTCTTCTGCAAAGCCTTTCTGGCCCCAGACACCCTCACCATACCTTGTGTCTGTTGTTCTACCATTATCAGTTTGATGTGTGGAGATTGGCTCTCTGAGTTGGCGAATTCCTGGCCCCAGCATTCTGGCTAGCACAAGCGTTAGCTAAATGAATAAGTGAAGGCACAGGTGCGCTGTGCACTGTGATGCTCTCAATTACGGCAGTCCTGCACATTTTCACACTTGCACAAAGAGTCATTGCTTTCTTTAGCAAGCAAGAGCCAGGATGAGCATTTTGAATCAAAATCTCTGTTTCTGAGTAAAGAAATTTCTTGTGAATTAGTCTTTAAATGACAAATGAAGCTATCGTTTGGTTGGTTCTACCTCAGATCTCTTGGATGCTGATATTTGAAATATATAGGAAGATGTAAAATGTGCTTCTCTGTTTTAGGCTTCAGCTCTGGTGGCATGGACTATGGCATGGTTGGTGGGAAGGAGGCTGGAACAGAGTCTCGCTTTAAACAGTGGACCTCCATGATGGAGGGACTGCCCTCTGTAGCCACACAGGAGGCCAATATGCACAAAAATGGTAAGAGCAAGCAAAGCCTTACGAGTTGGAGCTATATGGCCCTCACGGACCTTGATGATGTATCCTGTAAAATTATTTTAAAGCACAAATCTTTAGCTTTTTCTTAATCTCTTCGTTTTTCCTCCAAATCCAGTGATCGCCTAAGAGAGGAAGATTGGGGTTATGTATATTTCAAATTATAAGAAACTTAAAATGCTAGTTGTAATTAAGGGGAGCAAAATTGCCCACCTGTAATGGGATTGAGAGCAGTAGCAGTGAACTTGAGTACCCATTAGGATGAAACCCTAATATATTGGCTGAGAGAACAAAACGCATTTTTTTTGAGGTTTAAGAGATCACAACAAATATATACCATGTTGATTATTCAAACACTTTAGTCTCCAAAAGATAGATGACTAATAGTACATGAGATTTGAACTTTCCACAAAGCTTTCTTGTTTTGTTTTGTTTTTTTAGCTTTCTTGTTCTTAATGCATTATAGTGTCTGCAGGACAACAGCTGAGGGGCATCACAGGCTTTGGTTGTGAATGGTGGGCTCTTCATTTCCATTGTTCTCTGTAAATGCCTCTCTATGTCCCTGTAAAACAGATAAAAGGTCTTAGAACCTTCCTTCAACCTTTGTTTCAATGTTTATATTATTGGACAGTAATTCACCTGGACTCAACTGTAGCCTTGAGATCCAAGTATATACACCTGGGTGTTGGGCTCCTCCTGCCACAGTTTCCTGGCAGACCTCAGCCCTATGGGTCTGAAAACTTTCAGGGTTCCTTTATAAACCACTCTTGAATGTGTCTATCTGAAAGACAGTAAAATGGCCACATGGAGCTCTTCCCTGCTCTCCCTAAGATTTCATGCCACAAAATCAAGAATGATTTATTGAAACTATAAAATCTATCTCTAGACTGAATAATTCAAGCCCAGCATTTGTAGCGTTGGGCACTTACCCTGCTTCTTTAGGCTGGTAATTCATCAGGTCTCCTTGTCCCTAAAGACATGATAGGTGCACGATAATAAATACAGAGTGTCATGCGAGAGGATATCTGGAAGTTTAAATATCCACTTGCCTTTTCAGAGCTTATAGATACTGTGTTCCCCATTTCCTTAGCAATCCCCACAGTAATTGAGCGCTTCATTTCCTGCGACTTCCCTGTAATGTGCCCTTGAGTCAGATTTCTGTCAGTGGTTCCAGAAATGCAAATGACTTCTTAGCTGAGCGTGGAGGTGGATTTGATAATACTCCTGCTGGGCCAACCCAAGCAGACTACTTTAATCAATATTTACACAAATATTTTAATACATCATCCTGGAAATAATTTTATCTGTTTAGAAACAGCATCCTAAGGGTAGATCAGGTGACACAATGCAGCATGTAAAATTCATTTGAGAAATAAATAGGGTGGTATCTCCCAGAGGCCCCCAATTTTTATTGAAAGTGAAGATCACGGGCTCCCTGCTCGGCGGGAAGCCTGCTTCTTCCTCTCCCACTCCTCCTGCTTGTGTTCCCTCTCTTTCTGTGTCTCTCTATATCAAATAAATAAATAAAATCTTTAAAAAAAAAAAGAAAGTGAAGATCATTTTTAGTTAGGTTAAGAGAACTTTTAAGCTTTTAATGTTCTTCCTGCCTTGTAGCATCGCAAATGCATAAAAGGGGCACAGAAGGAACTGCCGAAATGCTGTCGGGAAGACAGTTACAAAGGATTGGTTGTTCTTCCTGTGTGGGGCCACGGGTCGCAGGACTGCACAGTTCCCTGTCGATCTTGTGCGGGCAGAGACCGTAGGCGGGAATTCCATCTCATGGCTTTGGAATTCAGAGCAATGGCAGATGCGTTTCTCTCCAGTGGGCTCCCTCTATTTACACTGCTTCTTTCAGCTAACCTGGGTCTGATCAGCACTGAAGAACTTGGCGGGGGGGGGGGTCCGTCAGTACAAGAGTGTCATGAGAACACTTCCTGTGCACTGCAGATTGTGTAGTGTTTTTCCTATTTCTCATTCTTGAGTCATTGGTATGGAAACTGGGGATAATAGTATGATTCGTTGTTGATGGAAGTTTCATTAATTTCTTAAGACCATGGAATTCTAAGACTGAAAGGAAGATTCAAGGATGAGAACAGTGCTGTGTGCCTCAGTGAGAACCCAAGAGGCTCAGGACGGTGAAGTGGATCGTTCCTACTCATCCTGTTTGTGAATTAGATACTGGCTGTCCAGGGCGACCTCTCGTTCCAGCACCTTTTTTTTACTGCATAAACGTCAGAATACTGTTTTCTGCCGAGTAACAGCTTTGACGAGTTCTGTTCATAGGAATCCTTTCTGGGTGTGAATTAATTTCCACTCTCTCTCCTCAGGCGCTATCGTGGCCCCTGGTAAGACTCGAGGAGGGTCACCATACAACCAGTTTGATATCATCCCGAGTGACACACTGGGTGGCCATACGGGTCCTGCTGGTGATAGCTGGTTACCTGCCAAATCTCCACCAACAAATAAAATCGGAAGTAAATCCAGCAATGCCAGTTGGCCTCCAGGTATTGTCCAATTTTTTTTTTTTTCTGGTGTATCATTTGTTTTTAATTCTTAATTTTGGGTTCTGAACAGATTGCTTTTGCCAGTTACTAATGCATTTTGTTTTCTCATTTAGTAACTGTTGTCTGATAAAAGCAAGGCATGTGCTATGCTCTGGGAAAGATAGGAAATTCGCATTAGTAATGGGGTCTCTGCTCCATTGAGTTCAGTCAGGAAGATAAGGTGTGGACACAGATCACCTGCAAGGCAGGTAACTGTGATAAATACTGCAGAGGCATAGACGAGTTGCAGGAAGTCAGAGGAATGGAATTTGGAGATCAAGGAAGGTGATGTGGGAGCCGGACTTAGCACTCGTCCGTGCACAGGATGCCTTATAACATGGGATCTTCTGAAATGCCCATTTAATTGGCCTGTTTATTCATGAAGCAAGTATTTATTGTCAGGTTCCAGGTATGCAGTGGTGGTGTAATGAGACTGTTCACTTTTTTCTCTTTTTATTTTGATGTAAGTAATCTATTTTCATTGTAGAAAAATTTTAGGTTTAGTTAAGCAAAAATTAAAAATCGGTATATGTCTTTCTAAAACCTCTTCCTATACAGGTATATTTGCAATATGAGTATGTTTAATTTCCTTCCATTAAAGCAGGTTCATATAATGCATATTGTTTGTGTATAATATTGTATTGTTCTCCATCATGATTAGGAAAACAAAAGCTTGTTAATCCTGTCACATGGCTTTAAATACAATTTAAATTAACCAATAAAAAAAGTTGTAAACACACGTATTCTAGGCTTTCTCATTGATAAGCCAGCTTATTCCTGCTCTTTGTCCCTGGGTGTTCCACATAATAGTGGTCACTTGTATTGTGTTTCCTTTCATGCATCTGAGCCAATTTCCAGTGAAATAAATGGGAGAAGTCACTCATCTCCAACCCTGGTTTTCTCCCAGTTCTTGTTGTGGATGCCTGGACAGTTCTCATGGGCACCAGGTTACCTACCCCTGCCCTCGCTGCCCTCAGGCCCGATCTTCCCTGGGAGCAGGAAGAGCCACGACCAGGACCAGACACCAGACAGCTCTGGCTCAGAGCCACAGAGAAACCAAGTCAACGTGCTTGGTAACATGGGTGCTGGTGTAGTGCCTGCTCGGGCTGAGTTGTGGTGTTCAATTTTATGATAAAAGTCTGAGATGAAATAGATTCAGTGTTCTACTTTTCACAGATCTATGCCTTGTATCAAAAACTAACTTGAGGGGCGCCTGGCTGGCTCAGTCAGAAGAACGTTGCAACTCTTGATTTCGGGGTTGTGAGTTTGAGCCCCACATTGGGTGTAGAGATTACTTAAAAATAAAACTTAAAAAAAAAAAAAACTAACTTGATTTTTATCATTCTTTGAACAACCTCCTACCTCTAATATTTGTTCTCCTTGTTTCAGAATTCCAACCAGGAGTGCCATGGAAAGGTATCCAAAACATTGACCCTGAGTCTGACCCCTATGTCACCCCAGGAAGTGTGCTGGGGGGTACAGCCACATCTCCCATTGTAGATACTGACCACCAACTTCTGCGGGATAACACCACAGGTAAATGAGTGAGGCATCCTTTGTGTTTATTCAATACCCAGCATTTTTGTATCTGTCAGTTTGTGGCTTCATTTGTACCTGCTAATAATCTAATAATTTAACCAGAAAACATACAAATATGTAGCTTTTCAGGGGTTTTTTGGATACTTTTTTAGTATATTTTAATCTTCCATCAAAGGCTAAATACAGTACTTAAGGTTTCACTGGTTATACTGATGTCTGTCTGCAGTATTTTCATCTTGTTCTTCCTCTGTCTCCCAAAGGGTCTAATTCTTCCCTCAACACCTCGCTGCCTTCACCTGGTGCCTGGCCCTACAGTGCCTCTGACAACTCCTTTACCAACGTTCATAGCACTTCAGGTACCGTCTGACCTGTTTGTTTCCCTTTGGCTAGCACTTTTCCATCAGGTTTCCTTTTACAAAGGAAATGGGCGTTTATTTCTTAAGGAGGACTTCAACAGAAGTTGAATGGCTAGGTCAGCCTAAATGGAGGCACACCTCTTCCGCTGGCCATGTTCTCAAGGAGCTTCCAGTGGCACAGACAGGATGAGACATACAGCTTTAGGACAGGGCAGATGGTGACATAATTGCAGGGAGCCTTGTGGGTATTGAGAGGGCAGAGGTTAAATCTTTGTGCCACAAGTGCTTTTCTTGAACCAGTCTGCCGAAGGAATCATGGGCCATGGGAAGAACCAGGGAAGTCCAGGTTGTTATTCCTAAGGTAGCCAATTATGGCTTCCTTTTCTACAAACAAATCCTTCCACTTATAGACAAAGGCTGCAGACAGATGGCCAAGGGGAAAAAAAGAGGCCCTTAATTAATTCTACCAATAACATTTGTTGAATTCCTTATGCGTATGTGTGGTGTTTTTTTTTTTTTTTTAGACGATAGGGAATAAAAGCTTAATGGATATAATAGAGCCTTTGAAGTCACTCACTCCACACACTGCCTCATAGATTGGTAGAGAGATTATTTGTAATTGGCACCTTGGTCTTGCAAAAGTTAGACCTCAAGCCATTAAAGTCATTAAGGCTTCTGTTCTGTGTCCAAGCAAAAGCAAATGGAACAAATCCTCAGCTACTCTTTAAGACACTGTAGGTTAACTGCCTTACAAATTGTCTTCTTTTTCTTTTCACGTCTGTGTCATATAGACAGGGTCACAATAACCTGTCATTTATTGAATGCTCCTGGAGACCAGGCAGCATGCTAAGCCTTCAGCATGAATTCTTACCTTACCTTTACCAAAGTCTGGGAGCAGGTCCTGGCCTTCTCTCTATTTTGAAGATGAAGAAACTCAGACTCAGAGAGCTGATATAATTTGCCTCAGGTCTGAGCGAGTGTGTAAAGGCACCAACTCCATAATCCATGTTTCTAATCACCACCCTACATTATACTTTTGTGGGACTTCGTCCTTTACATGTAAAAACTTATTTTTCAACCCAGCTCTTTCATTCCAGTAACTGCCCACGTCTTCAGTTGAACTGTTTTATCTTTTTGTCTATAGTTGGACATTCACCGGATAGATTACCCAAGGATCACCTCAGAGGTGTCTAAACTGAATGTATACTTTTCTGCACCACCCCCCATTGTGTTTCCCAAGTCTTTCCATTCAATAAATGTCTTAGCTATCTCCCAGGGGGTGCATTCTGCAGCCACATCTCCCATCCATTTCTTCTGCTCCATTCTACTTACTGTCACCCAGGATGAGAGCCAAGTTTAAACACTACATGCTCAATCTAGTAGCATCCTCATCGGCCCCCAGCCTACCTTTCTGGCCTTCTCTACCTCTGCCCCTGTGAAATATTGTTCAGCCAGAACTGGGGGAAAACATATTTGGTACAGATAGAGTTCAAATTGGACATTAGTCTATATTTTCCTCTGTCTCTGAGCCCATCCATTTATGTAAATCCTTCCAGACCTGTCTTTGCAAAGCCTTTAGTGATGGCTGAGCAGTGTCTTCTCTGTGTATTGAACATATGTGATGATGCCTGGGGTTACCAATTCTCTTATTCATCTGTTCTGTCTTCCCATGTGAACTTGAAGTTCTTGAGAATGTTTGTATTACCCACAGCATTGATTTAGTGCCTTAAAGCATAGTAAGCCCTTAGCAAATATTTGTTGATTGTTCTTTAAAAATCTGTTTGAATGTTGGGGTGCCTGGCTGGCTCAGTCAGTAGAACATGAGACTTGATCTCAGGGTTGTAAGTTCCAGCCCCATGTTGGGTGTAGAGATTACTTTAAAAACGCTTTTAAAAAAATGTTTGTCTGAATGTTGATAGCTAATAATCTGGATCAAGAAAAGTATAAATTTCTAGTGTACTTTCCATTCAGTCAGTGAGTATTTATAGAATAGTTTTACTAGGGTTCACATTCTACTATGTCTGTAAGACTAATGATTTTAGGAATACTTCCCTTGAATTAATCTTCCCTTTCATGTTCTGTTTGGCTAAGAAAGTAGTAGAGAATTAGTTATCATATTAAATCTTTAGTTTATGTGTTGTCAATTCAGAGTAATAGTCATTGAAATTTTTATATTTAATAAGTTCAAAGGGCAATGTTACTTTGTATTGCTACTCTCAAAATGTGTACTTAACTATTTTTAGAATATTATTTATGTGTATACACAAAATTTATGTATATTGACAAAAGTGACCTATCTAACCTTATCCCTTCTTTAATATTCTCTTCTTTATAGCAAAGTTCCCTGATTACAAATCAACATGGTCCCCAGATCCCATAGGACACAACCCCACTCATCTCTCCAACAAGATGTGGAAAAACCATATTTCCTCGAGGAACACTACAGCGCTGCCCCGCCCACCTCCCGGTCTGACCAACCCCAAACCATCTCCCTGGAGCAGCACAGCACCCCGATCAGTCAGGGGGTGGGGGACCCAGGACTCACGGCTTGCCTCGGGTGAGGAGGATCCGCCAAAGGAGCATCGTTGTTCAAGCTCATGTTAATACCAAAAAAGACATGAAATCTTCACAAGAGAGGCAGTGTGGTAGAGGAAAGAGTGGAAAACTCTTGAGTGGAAAGCTGTAGTCAGTCTAGGGCAGAGAAAATCCAAGAACTCGCAAGGGACTGATGGAGTAAAAATGATGACCAGCATAGGGAGGACATTAGGAGGAAAATGTCTTACCAGTGAGATGAGAGTGCACAGGGTTCAAGGTCTAGGAGAAGAGAGCTGGCCATTAAGTGACAGGATGAAGGGGGTCAGAGGGAGGTAGAAAAGAGAAGACAGTTGATAACAGGAGAGAAGAAACATGTGGGCTATGTGAAGATGTTTCTCACTCGTGGCTTTCTGAATTTTTTTATTGCTCTTCCTGATTGTTTTTCTGGTTGCTTCAGCCTCTACCTGGAGTGATGGTGGTTCAGTTCGTCCCAGTTACTGGCTGGTTCTTCACAATCTCACTCCACAGGTAATCATGCTTCCTTGTGATTTTTGAGACAGGACTTCATTGTGTTAAGAGAGGGAAACTCAGGTGTGGAATGTTGGCAGATAAGATTAATTTCCTGCTCGCTACAGAGAGGCCCAGTGTGCAGGGGTGGGTCTCTCCACCCAAAGGCTCGAAGTCTACTCCTGAATGGGGAGTGTTGGCCCAACAAGGCTTAAGGCTCAGTATCAACCATTTGTAATGCTTCATAAATAATTAACCATCTATCTCGGCAGTAGGAGGAATCTGTCAGTTTCCTAGCTTAAATGCCACATGGGTGCTTTCAATTTTCCATCTGTTATTCTCTTCTTTGTAGATGGCATTACTAATTTGCTGTCTTCAGAACATGCCCTCTGGGTTGTTTTTACAGTGATGGGTTTCATTTGCCGCAAGCCACTCTGTCTGTCACCTTGTTTGCTTGATAACTGACATACTTGCAGCAGTACTATGTCGAACACTCAAATGAGATTAAATGAACCCACTGAAACTGAGCCCATGACCTTTATTTGGACTAGACAGCACAACCTTTACAACACCTTGTTAAAAGGAGTCAATTATGCTTCCCTCCGTTTGACACATAAAATGAATTGTCTAGCATTTAATTCATAAATGGATTCATGCACACTTTAGTAAGCCAGCATTTTCTAGAGTGTTCTCATGGGATATTAATAGGTCTCTGGCCTAATATGTTTGGAATATATACTTGATTAAACGAAGAAACAAGGTTTCTTCACTATGAGACTTCTTAGACCCTTTAATATACTAACATGTATTATGATCCTCTGTGAGGAAATACAGCTTCTCCTAAATTTACTTGCCCAGTGAATCTGTTTGTGGGGAGTGTACCCAGGGCTTGCATTTCAGGGTACATGCGGAGAAAGGCGATTTCGTAAATAGAGTTAACATGAGAAAGAGTCTGGGTTGGCTCTTAATCTCCATATCAACTCAGCTAAAAGCCCCAGGTGGTTTTTTTAGCTAATAATTGACTGAAGTATGACGATTTCATATGGCTATACTCAAAACTATATATGCCTCATTAGAATATTTTTTTAAAGATTTTATTTATTTGAGAGCGAGCACAAATGTGGGGGGGGGAGTGCAGAGGGAGAGGGAGAAGCAGATGCCCCACTGAGAGCCTAACACAGGCCTCGATCCCAGGACCCCGAGATCATGACCTGAGCTGAAGGCAGACGCTTAATCGACTGAGCCATCCAGGCGCCCCAGAATATGACAACATTCTGAAAGTTGTCCCTCAGTGTGGTGGATATATGGTTAGGATGAGAGAGACAGTAATGGATACGCTGTTTTGAAAGGAACCTGGGGAACCTAACCAGCTGTTCACTTCTGTTTTATGCTACAAAAAATAGTACAGGGGCGCCTGGGTGGCTCAGTCGTTTAGCATCTGCCTTCGGCTCAGGTCATGATCCCGGGGTCCTGGGATCGAGCCCCACATCGGGCTCCCTGCTCCGCGGGAAGCCTGCTTCTCCCTCTGCCACTCCCCCTGCTTGTGTTCCCTCTCTTGCTGTGTCTCTCTGTCAAATAAATAAAATCTTAAAAAAAAAGAAAATAGTGAATACATGTGTATATATGTGTAAAATGAATCAAGGGGTTGGCTATGTTTGTATTAAAAAGAATTGTGTAATTTTAAAGCTCAAAACTACCTAATAGACTAATCTCGATCATAGCTTAGAAGAAGGTTTTAGGGCAAATCTTTGGAACTTGGATAAATTTGCTTTCATTGCCTAAAATTTGTTTAGAGGGCATCTGTGCTGGAAGGTCACTTGTGGTGTACTCTAGGCCGCACTCATATAGTTGCTTGTCATTTTCTGTAAAGAAATCTGGTGAATCTGCTGGTTTCCATGGTGAAACCACACAGTGTTTGCAAGGCTGCCACCAGTAACAGTTTCTGAAGGCTGTTCCGATAGTAATCTGTTTCCCTTCCAAAGAAATGAACCCAGTGTTGGACTCAGCAGCCTATCTCAACCTAGTTAAGATTGCGATACAAATAAATTGATCAGAGTGAATAAGTAGATTTGTCCACCCAAGTGCTGGGTGAGAGAAACTATCTCGAATCACTGGACACGAGCGTCTGGATAACATGAGGGCGAGGGCAGCAGAGTTCACAGAGAAGTAGGCAGAGAGTCTCACCCTGGGGTGGCCAGCGTGGGAGTCAGAGGACACCAGCTGGGTCCGCGAGCTAGGTCAGCCAGCAAGATCGTGAACCATCAGGTGTGGCTAGCAGTGCTGTCTTGTGTGTATCTTCCTCTTCCGCTCCCTGTGAGCTCATTAACTGGGGGGGTAGAGAATACTGCATTAGTAATGATGCCAAGAACTTGGCATGTTCTCTTAAGTTCTTATTCACGTGCCGTCTTATTTGTGCTTTCTGAAGTCTCTGACAAATCAACACACATTCACTTGTTTACCTCTTAAGGAAAAGAGACTGCAGGTTGAATTGTATGATTTGTTTTGAGCTGTGTTTTTACGGACTTTTTTATTTCCAATATGGGCACATTAGATCCCCAGCCCAGCGCTTTGAATATCTTAAAATTTACCTTTAAGACCTCTGTTCAGTGCACTCTTTCCTGCTTTGAGTTCCTCCTTCCTTTCTCCAAGACGAGTTTAGTGCTGATACCGTTATTTACAAATCAGAAGTCCTTTTCCTTCTCCAACATAGAAAGGCCACTTTCGTTCCCTTCACACCCCACCTCCAGGTTTTAATCTCATGAATGTCATTACCCCTCAGATTGATGGGTCAACGTTGAGAACCATCTGCATGCAGCATGGCCCACTGCTGACATTCCATCTGAACCTAACCCAGGGCACCGCCCTGATCCGATACAGCACCAAACAGGAGGCGGCCAAGGCCCAAACCGCACTGCACATGTGAGTACCCATCCTATGCTCACTGAGACAAACACGCATGAAGATGCACACGTGAGTAGTCTGCCACCTGCTTGATTAGACAGATGCACAAGAACATGCACAAAAACAGCATCATGGCAGTAAGCAATTGCTTGGTACTGAGGGGACTGATCTTTTCTACCTACCTAAGGGTGGATTGTCTGTCGCATAGGCCACTCATCAGAATTCCAAAACCAAAGAATTTATGAAGTCGTGAAGCAGTGAGTAAATTTTAAATACCATGAAACGAAGCCAGTACTTAGGAGAATGTGAAACGTCGTAAGCACTGTCACTTTTTGTAATAGAATCTAGCAACTTACCTTGGCTTCTTTGTTGGTGAAGATGAAATACGGTGGTCTGGGTGCGTAGCACTGATTTTGTCTAAAGTAGGTGGGACTGGATCACACTTTGACCATCCCCCCTCCCAGCTGCTGTCAGACTGGGAGCCAGCAGATGCCACGGCAGAAGCTACAGACAGCGAGCGAGCAGTGGTGAGGCTCAGGCAGTGAGCCCGGTCCTGACACAGAGCAGCGGCACCTCCAGATGTCTAAAGCTGGGTCACCTTGATGCTTGTGGTGTGACCTTTCACCTCCCATGGGGGAAAAGAGAGGTGACATTTTTCTCCACATATGAATTCCATATACCAAAAGATTACTGATACATGGTACCCTCTAGGAGTCTTTGGATGTCTTGAGATTCAGCGATACCTTATTGCTTTAAAGCAGTGCCTCTCGATCACCTGGTCTGGTTAAAATGCAGGTTTTGATCCTGTAGGCCTGGGGTGGGGCCCATGATTCTGCATTCAAAAAAGCTTCCAGGGGATGTGGAAGCTGCTGGTCAAAGGAGCACACTTTGACTCTCGAGGACTCAGAACCCTCAGTCCCTGTGGATGCTGTAGGATTCCCTCAAATCCATAGTTCTTTCCCTCCCCTTTTTCCTAGGTGTGTGTTGGGAAACACTACCATCCTGGCTGAGTTTGCCACCGACGATGAAGTTAGCCGCTTTCTGGCACAGGCTCAGCCGCCTACACCTGCAGCAACCCCAAGTGCACCCGCCGCAGGTTGGCAGTCGCTGGAGACCGGCCAGACCCAGTCGGACCCCGTCGGACCTGCTCTGAATCTTTTCGGTGGGTCCACAGGGCTCGGGCAGTGGAGCAGCTCGGGCGGCGGCAGCGGGGCCGATCTTGCTGGCGCTTCATTGTGGGGGCCCCCAAACTATTCTTCTAGCTTGTGGGGAGTCCCAGCTGTGGAAGACCCCCATAGGATGGGCAGCCCTGCTCCCTTACTACCTGGTGACCTTCTGGGAGGAGGGTCGGATTCAATCTGAACTTAGAACTTTCAACTCTGACCTCGTGACCTTTTTTGGAACAGCAGCAGCACTAACTTGACCTTTTCGTTTTTTTTTTCAACTTGCAATAAATACATTTTTAAAAGGAAAAAAGAAAACGGAGAGAGGAAAAAAAAAGGTGGGTCATTGACAGACTGTCTGAGCACATAGTTGCCTCCCTTATAACTTCAGTTTTTTCGTTTGGAATATGAATCCAAAAAGAGAACATATCACTCTTGAAATACTTGAATCATGAACGCCAACCTAGAAAGACAATGTGAAGCAAGTACACATACCATTTAAATTTAAACACAAAAAAATTAAAAAAATTAGTTTCTAGTTTTTCACTTTTTTCATGTTATATGGAAGTTGTTGCTAAGAAACATATATACTGAAAAAAAAAATAGCTTTTTAACTTTGTTTGCACTGGGTGTGTTTCCGTCCTTAGGTCTACCACGTTTGGGAGGGAGGGGAATTCAAAAGAATTGTTGGGGTGGCGGGGGGAAGACTTGACGGAGCCTCACTTTAAAAACAAAAACACAAAACCTAAAAAAAAAAAAAAAAGAAAAAATTTGTGATTGGCTGGTTGATAAATACCAGTGTGTTCTGGCACATGTAACTGCCCAGGCATGCTCGTTCTGGTATGTGTGTGCACGTGTGTTCATGTGCATTCGCGTGCATCCTTCTCTCTGTCTCTGTGTGTGTGCGCGCCCGTGTCCTCCTCCTCCTCCCCCACTCGATCTCAGAAAGCTGCATTGCTGACAGTCTGCAGGCTGGCTGGCCGGCCATCTGCTTTTTATTTTATTTTATTTTATTATTTCTTTTTTTTTTAACTATCAGAACACACAGGCACGGGGAGCCACTGCTTGCTAAAGCAACTCCGTTGGGCTGCATTAAGATGAACAGAGTGCTTTTTAATGATTTAAGCAGGGAGCTCCTTTCCATTTGCAAATTAGCCTGAGTGAGTTTTCTCTTGCTTTTCTTTTGACCTAGCAGTAGAGTTGGAGCACTGCCAAGTCCAAAAGAGTAGGAGAGCAGGAGGTACCTCTTGGAGCAACTGTGTGTTTATTTATTTCTGTTTTTTAAAGTACATGGCCACCAGGCACATCTGAATATCTGTTAGGTTTTTCTTCCGTTAGTCTGAATGGGAACAGATGATATAAGAGAGTTTTTACTTAATGCCATGTCTCAAAAGCAGAAAAACCATGTTCCCCCTTTCTTGTGTCATCAGGTATGAGGAATCATCAGAAAGTCAGGTAATGCCGCATTAAAGGTTTCCATTGGTTCTCTTTTTCGTTTTACGAAAACGGAAACAAACAGGTTGTGAGCAGCCTCCTGAAAGCACCTGCAGCTTCTCCCTCTCTGCTCCTCTCTCGCTGAGCGTTACCTGTGCCAGGCCGTGGCGTGTTACAGCACCAGGCCATCACTGACAGAAACGTTTACTTAACGAATGTTCTTAAACCAGTGTGTACTTCAAGCGTTTCCTTTTGTTTCTCTGTGTTGTGTATTTCCTGTGTATGTGGTTTTGCTTAGGCAGGTATAACTTAGCAGAGACTTTTAAGTATTGCACCTTTTTTTGGTTTTGACCTCTTTATTTTTTTTTTTTCCTTGTAATGTTGCTTTTTTTATTTCGGTATTTAAAGACTTTTTTTTTTTTTTAAAGCATCAATGTAGTAGTACTCTGGGCCGACTAGGGGGCAACTTTAATCCACAGTTATCGCCAACATGTATGTACTTATGTTGGAATCAACATGTATCAAACTGCTTTTTGTGAAGAGTTCTAGCAGACCCGAAGGGGTACCCCGTTATACAAAGCAGATGCTGGCGGGGCGGGTGGGGAGGGGGGAGGGGAACGTATGCCGGTAACGCGCTAGCACTTGTGTGGACGTCCCAGTCTGCATTATACTGTTTAACATAAAGTGCCGACATTCTGTACCAGCAAATACCTGCCCATTCCAACCCTTGGTGGGAGCAGACCTCTACTGTCCTCCGTAACTTGCTGCTAGTGAGGACAAGGGAGTTTTTCTTTCTTCAGCATCTTCAGTGAAGGATACAACAATGCCTAATGTATTTGACTTTTAGCTTGTGTCTGTGTGTAGGTGGGTGGGTGGGTGTGTATAGGAAAAGGCAAAACTGAATTATTTGCATTTAAATGGTTTTATGAGACAAAGAATGGGAATTCTGTAGTCCTCTGGCTTACCCTGTTGATTATAAACCTAGCCTCAAAAGAGATTGACATGCGTAATTCAAGTGAGCGTTCGCTCATATAAGTCTTTATGCACCCTTTGTGGGTAGGTGGTCAAACTTGAGTCTCCAGCGTTGGTTCAGTCCCATTGGATGCCTTGTAGAAAACTAACTGTGCCCTCTTCCTGCTCTCCGGTTTTCATCACCACCACCATGCCCCTTCCACCTCTGCCCTTGTACAAAACATCTCCTTCCAGCCCCTCCACCTGCTCTCCGTGTGTGGAGCAAAACCCTGTGGTGTGTGGTGATGTCCAGGTGGAGAGCAGCTGTGTTCAGCCATCTACAGAAGGCGAAATCTTAGTGGCCCTGGGCCAGGAGCATGTCCCGAGGCTCCCACGAGCCCGTGGCGACCCTGTCCACTGCCGTGTCCTGCCCCCCCCCTTCCTCTCCTCCTGCCTGCTGGTTCCTTGGCCTGCACTATGGGTTAGTTGAGTTCCTTACGATACTACGGTGAAAGCCGGGTGCTAGAGCCCCTCTTGTTTACAAGACATAATGAGGGATTTGAAATATGTAAAAATAAACATGAGAAGCTCAAATGTTCTTCCATCTTAAGCTTAAAGGGAAAAAATTAAAAACTTAAAAAAAGACCAAAAAGTGCGTATATATATACATATAAATATATATTTTAGATGAAGACTAACTCTGGGAGCATTTAACAGTGTTTTTTTGTTTTTGTTTTTAACATTTATTTTCCTGCTTTAAAATTTGCAAGCATTCTCAGGAATTCTAGGGTAGGAAGCCAGTTTTTTGAAGATGGTTTATTTAACCGTATCTTATCCTAGATAGGCGGCTGTTTCTTTCCTGTTAATAAACTTTTACAAGTTCCTGAAACTTCAAAAAGTTTAAACAATTTTTACTTAAAAAAATGTAAAAAGAAAAGTCTCCAAACATTATTGTCATACTGGGGATCACACATTTTAAAACACATAGAAAGAAATATTTTTTAAAAATTATCAATTTAGCAGCAACAGGTCAATTCGTTATCTTAAAAAATAGGGGAGAAGGATTAGCTTTCTAAGAGCTTTATCATGGATTTATTTGAAATTGTGTGTCATTTAGTGGGAGTGTTTGGTTTGTATAAATGGGAATGCCATCACTTTGTTCCTTTCCATTTAAGAGGGAACTGACATCTCCCCTAACGATTGTTATTTTTTTTTTTTAAGGGAACCCTTCTCCCTGTCCCTCAAACCCCAGCAACAAAAGAAAGAAAGATAGAAAGAACAACTTAGAAAAAAAGTAAACTCTAATCTGTAAAATAGTACGGTTGGATTGCTGAGAATCTATGTAAAGAGCTAGGAAATAGAGGTTAATAATTTTTGGAACAAATTTTAAATATAGGCATTACTAGAGGAAAATATCTATGGACTGTTCTATTAATGAAGAATGTCTGTCTTACCTCCCCGCTTGTTATGGGAGGAGGAGAAAATAAGAAGAATCTAAGGAACAAGTGATTTTACTTTTTTAGCTCCCAGTTACTGTTGTGCTCATTTTAATTGCTGTTTTGAAGATCTGCTGCTTAATTATCCCCATCCCTCAGCTGGAGATATGGAGTATTTCCTTTCAGTTTTTCGTGATGTTGAATTCTCCTTTTGTATTCCCTCCTGGGGCCAGGGGTCAGAATTCCCAAACATGACCACAGCTTCTTTTAAACATCTAAGCTTCCCAGTGGGAAAGAAACTCCAGCTCGACAGGTAATGGGTGGGTGGGGCTGCTGCCTGCAATTTCTCTAAAACCGCTTTAGTGCCTTCGTACATACACCCAGACATCCGAAGCAGGAGGAGCTCGTGTGTATGTGCATGTGGTCCAGCCACTCCACAGATATAAGTACACTTGCCCATTAAGGAAATTGGAGTGGTTCTGGACAGGCCCCAAAGGCAGTGGGCTAAATTTAAAATAAATAAACAGAAATCAAGGAAGTTAAATATGCTTTCATGTCTTGATAATGTGGAATGCCAAGATCCTTCCTTGTGTTATTGCCCTCGTTACTGTGCACTGACTTCTCCAGGTGTGTCGCTTTGACAACTACATACAGTGATTGGGAAAGTCTGTTTGTGTTGGGCCAGTAGAAAGGGGTTTCTATTTTTCTGCTCTTGTCCTTCTTTGTCTCCTCTCCTTCCCCCCCAAACTCCCCCCCTCCATTTTTTTCGTCAGCTTGCTGGAAGCTTTGCTTTATTGGTTGGCAGTGACCTAAGAACAGGATATAGTGAGGATATAATGGAAGAGAAAAACTCTTTTCTTTCCGTGGTATTCTTTGGCAAGAGCCATGTCTGCTGAGAGGTTAGGTGGCTTCCATAACACTTAGAAAATTTGGTGGGAGCGGCTTCTCTTCCACCACATTCTGGCATGTGTACAGAGGTTTGCTGGTCACCTCTCATTATGTAGATTTATCTTGTAAACATTTCGATCATGTAAATTTGAGCTTTCCAATTTTTACTAGTTTCCTTTATTTTTTTTAAACACTTGATTACTAGTGGCTGGAGGTGCCCATCTTTCAAACATCACAAACTTGGTTTCGGTCTACCACATGAGTAGCCAAAAGGAAAAAGCACTCATGGGGAAGAGACGTCTTCCATCAGACTGGAGACCTCTACTGGCAATTGAAATCCAGTGCCATGACCTAATTTTAGGTGTTTAAAAAAAAAAAACCCACAAAAAAACAAAGTTCAGATCTCCGAGACACTGTGAAGAAATGGATGGCCCATAGGGCATCTCTGATCCCTCCATACCTAGCCTTGATCTTCTCCATTTGCGACATGCACAGAAGTTAGCAGTGCTGCATGTTAAGGTTCCAAACCAAATTCTTTCACCAGTGTCCCCCAGTAAATCAACATTATCCATTGATTGCCATTCGATGTTTTATTTATAGCAGCTTAATTTTCTAATTGTATGGCTCCTCTTCTAAGAACTTTCCCACCTCTTCTGATGTGAATGTAGCATAAATTAGTAGTTGGTTCTTCCAAGTTCCTGTGGGTTGAATGCGGTATCTGAGATTATGCAAAAAAAAAAAGAAAAGAAAGAAAAAAGAGAGGAAAAGAAATTCCTACCTAAGAATTTGGAAGAGCTTTTATTAATATATCTAGCAGAAACTAACATTTCACGGGGTATTGACGACGTGTTGCAAATATTCACTTGAATTTTTGCCATGAGGGGGCAGTTTTTGTAAGGTTAACAGCCAGATTCCATATCGACCTCAGATGCTGTGTACTTTTTAATTTTATTTTTTTATATTTTGCCATGTTGACTCTTCTCTTAAACAAAATGAAGATGTCTCTGCTGAGCAAAATGCTTAAGCCAAGCCTGTTTTCCTCTGCAGTGTAAACAAAATGTTTTCAGCAGACTTGGCTGTAATAGCCATCTCTAAGATTAGGGAACAATTGAGTCTTTATATAGAAAAGGTCCCCTTCCACCCCATCCTCAGAGTTCAAATTCAGTATATAACACTTTGTAGGTTATTGTTTGGATTTGGGGTTTTTTCTTTTGTTTTAGCTATCTATAAGGTCTTTTACTAGGAGTAGAGATGCATTTTTAGCTGGTTGGGGAAAAAAATCAAACTTTTTCTTCTCCAGTTTTTGCCAAGTTTTGTCACACTTCAAGCCTATGCGTTAATTACGCTTCTTAGTGATACTGCAAAAAGAAATCTTATTCTTGAATTGTTTTCCTTCCTGTGAGTGTCTTGCTGAGGCTGCATGTGATGGTGCAGTTGAAAATATTCCAGCCTATGTGTCCAGTGAATTATCAATCTATAGACCTCAGAACCCATTCAGAAAATAGGATGCCCTCACCCTCTGCTGCCCGTTGCACCACACCCTCTTAGCTTTCTTACCTACAAGTACAGGGTGTCCACACAGTCTAGAAACAGGTAAATATACATAATGTTGTCAAGAACATCATCAATCTATTAAAAAAAAAAAACCCACATAGAATGTTCTCTGTATTTCCAGAGTTAGTGCGTACCCTGTAATAAGCTCTGTAGGTTTATGGCCAGTGCCAGAAGTGTGTGTATTTTCAGAGATGGTCCCTACTTATTAACGATGGTGGTGTTTTCTTGACCTTGAATTTGACAAAGGGGGTACTGGCATCACATTCTTTAGATTTAAAATAATGATCAGCTTCAAGAACCTATGAACATAGTAATAACTTAATAAAAATAGAACACTGACCCTCCCTGCCCTGCCCACAATGCTTCCCCCGCACTGCCTTCACTGCCAAAGAAAAGAGGCCATGAACATTTACAGGATGGCAGAGGGAACACTGGTCAGGAAACAGAACAACTCCCCACTGGCCGGGCATTCCTGCTATGCTTAGGTGAGTGGTCACTTGGACTAGATCTGAAGGAATTATCAAGTATTCTAACGTGAGCGGTTTTTAAACTGTCAATCTCTTGTAGTATCCTCCTACCACCACCACTTAAAAAAAAAAAAAGAAAATGACAGAAGCTGCCAGTGTTTGCCGCACAGAATTTAAATAGTTCTTGGCAGTTGGCCACATACCTGAGTTTGTTTTTAACGAGAAACTGCACACCAGGAAAATTGGTACCACCCTGACCAAGGGGTCTCTGCCAGACTCCCATTGTGGGGTCTTCATTGTGACAACTGCTTGTTTTGTCCATGGGAGAGGAAAGGTCAGATGAAGGCAAGAAGTGTTCTGTTTTAAATAAAAAAGAATTAGTGTTTCCCCAAAGCACTTTGTGCCTCAGTTCAGTTTTCAACGCTATCAGTCCTCGCTTCCCAATCCACTGGCCAGTCTCGAGCCAAGGTTAATACGTTGAGACTGTCTTTACAAAAAGAAATTCCTCTTTACTGCTAATGGGAACAGCAAAAGAAAAATTGTGAAGATAGTTTACAATATCGTTGTAGCAGAGATGTGAATTGAAGTGCTTTTCTTTCCCTTCTCCCCTGCTTTCTGGGACCTCCCACAGAATCTGGCATGCCTTCTCCCTGGGCTCGACAGGTGTGCACAGTTCTCTGAGGGCTGGGTTGTAGGAGGTGAGCTGGAGCAGTCTTACTGCAGGACTAGCCTTACAGCAGAGCTTTATGGAAAGGAAGAGAGTCTATCCTAAATGTGTTCGCCAAAAATGAACAAGGCGGGGGGGGTCTTTATACAAAACTAAGCAAAAACCTTTGGAATCCTTCAAGAAGTTAACATACCTTTTAAAGGTAGTACAGGTTCTCACCAAGTGATGCATTCAGCATGACACTTCTCGCCAGAAAGTTCAGGATAAGTTGGAATAAATGTGTTTAAAACACCACCCCTACCCCCCCCTTTTAATTTTGTCCAAGGAATTAATTACTTAAGTGTAGTATTTCTGAATGTGCCTTTGTGAGTACAGAGACCGTCTGTTTTAGGAAGAAGCTAACCGTGGGGATAAAACAGAAAGGCGGTCAGTGTAGTCTTTAGGGAAGTCAGCGATTCTCCTGGCGGTCCCCAGGGGCAGCTCTGGAGTTTTCATTAGCATCAATATTGCACAGTGTAGAGTTGTGTGGAAGAGATTCTGGGGCTCGGGAGGGAGAATGAGGTGATGGTGCACAATGACAGAGACCCAGGTTCATCCAAGAGTGCAGGTTGAATTTATCTGTCTGCAGTACCTAGTTTCCTTCGTGTGTGTGTGTGTGTGGCTGTTTTAGTTTTTGTTTTTCTGTAAGCACTGGAGAACTGAAATATGGTGATGTTTGTGACACATTCATGCATGTCAAGAAGGCGTTTTCTAGCTTCTGCCATGTGCGGGGGCGGGCAGCGCATTTCCACCCTCTGAGTCTGTGTCCTAAGAAGGCAGTTACTTTCCTCACATCATGTTGCTGTTTATGCGAACAGGGTATTACACGCAAGGAAAAAGCTTCTGAGAGAATAAGATGGAAGTGTTTGAGAAAGAAAAGAGAAAAATCTGAAATCGTATTTTATTTCTTCAGAACTATTATAGTTAAGCATAGAAATCTGCAGTGTCTCTTCATTTGCTTTTGTGTTTGTTTTAAACGATGCCACCTCTTCTCCCCATGCCCTATCTTCTAAAGAAACCGCAAGTGAATGCTAAGGGCCATCTCCATAATTCCTCAGAACTCCCCAAAGAGGAAAACAATCCCTCCCACAAGATTCCTTCAGCTTCATTCAGGAGACAAAGGGAGGAGAGATGCGGCTTTCTGTGCTTCTCTCTCATTCCTCTCTAATGGCCTTGAAATGTATTATTATGCAAATGTGAATTTTGATACTGAATTTAAGAAGAGGTTGTTGGATTTTTTCTTTTTTCAGAAAAAAAGGTCCCATATGTGGTCATCATTGCTTCTTTATTTTGTAACGTGAATTGTAACTATGCATTCTGCAAAAGGGGGGGTGGGGAGGGCAGAAAGGGAAGGAAGTAGCTTTGCATCCTTGTTCTACGGTTTCTGTGTCCATGGTATCCCCACATTCTGGCGGGGAAGGGGAGTGAGAGCCGGAAGCAGTCAAGTCGGCACAGTGAGGTGGAAAGAGACCTGGAGCCCTCCCTGCAGTCCTGGGGGGGTGGGGGGCGCTGCAGTTCCTGTCGGCTGGTGTGCTACAGGATTCTCCGCCCTAGCCGTGCAGTGTTAGCCCAGGGCGACAGGGGGCCCCAAAGGCCCTAGTGTTCTCTGGGAAAAAGTACTCATCCTTTCCTGAATTCAGAACCCTTTCAAGCTCAGGAAACCATGCCTCACTCGTGCTGACCTTAAAGTTAATCTTTCTGTCGATTTCCAGAACTACTCCTCCTCCTCCTCGCTCCTTTTAATTTTTCTTTTTTTCTTCCTTAATCCTTTTTAAGTGAACTTATTTATAAGGAAACTGCCCTGCTCTGTGGGGAAGAGGACTGTTGCTTGGCAGGCAAAAAGAAGTCTCTTCCTCATCCACAAACCCTCAGCCAAACGTAATCTCTCTGCTTCCTTGCATTTATTCCTCCAGAGAGCTAGTGAGCAATGAGGTGCTGGACACGGGAACGCCTACAGCCTCCTCCTCGTCCTCATAGAGTTCCTTTGTTGATTTTGCCTGTGGTGAATCCTGGCACCTGCGTTGCTCTGGTCTAGGCATTATCTGCAACCTACAGTATCATAAGCCAGAGATTGTTCTGCCCGTATTCAATGTTTCCACGCAAGCAGTTTTTGTTGTTGATGTTCACAGTACTGTAACGAGTAACAGACTTGATCACAGTCTCCTCGTGCCCCGTGCAGGGTGTATAGGCACAATCTTATCAGGGTTCCAATCTGTTAGATTGCCTTTAGACAAAACACAAAACAAACAAAAAAATAAGATCCTGACGTTTCAACTGTCTAACACAAAACAATACCTCGAGGTACATTTCCCCTGCGATGTAGACCCTTAACTCCCCTCTCCTTCTCTGACATCAGTGGGTTATCCTTTTTAAAATATGAATGTGTAAATAGTAGGATAACTTTTACAATTTTTTTCTTTGCTGTGAAAGTAGCCCTGAAATATGATATTTTTCCATTTTTTTTTAAGCCATCTGAAGTTTCAGATCTTCTTTCATGCTTAAGAAGAGAAAGCAGAACAGGTCAGGGGAGTGGACGTGCATTTGTGGGGTGGTGGTCTCTCCACTGCCTCCCACACACAGTGGCAGCCGACCCGTGTCCAAACCCTGTTTCGAAGAGATGCCATCTATTCCAGATCTAGTTCCAGGGTGAGGAGTGTCCAGATTTCTCTCTTCCAGAAGATCCATCCCCTCCAGGCACTGCAGGATGTTTTTTAACCTCAGACCTTGAGCTCTCAACCTTTCTTGCTTCACCCGCAGGCTCACTTTTTGAGTAACCGAGTAGCATTCTGTGGTTCATAAAGGGACTCATCCCTGGCATTTCAATTTGGCACTGTAGAATTCATAGACTTACCACTTTACAATGCTTTAGAAATGTATTGATTTCTTACTTAGAAGGAAATTCATCTGAGACGTGCAAACAACCTTCCTGAAAGGTGTGGGCACCCTCAGGCATTCCTCTGAATGCCTTTCTACGTGAAGCTTGAAGCTGACATTAGGTAGAGGGATATAACGTTTAACGAATGCTGCTTGTAGGATCTGTCAGCTACGGCTCTCCTAGATTTGGCGACCCACAAGGCAGGGTCAGAATAGATCGTTTTGAATAGCTTCTTCACAAACGCCTCTCCCCCTGCCCCCCCCCCCCCACCGCATCTTAAAGCTAAACCCTGTATCTGTTTAAAGGACCTTTTTAGTTTGAGCTCACCAATCTTGTATAGTGACGACTTCCTTCGAGGGAAAGAAGCTTGAGAATAAATGCACACCTATTCACCACCCACCTTCTGATTTGAGGCGCTATCCACCTTTGGATTTTATTTCTGTTGTTTGTTTGGAGGCCCCTTTTCTGTCGGTCTCCTTCCTCCGGTCCCCCATAAGTTCGTAAGTTCTTACTGCCCTTATATCCATCCACGATGCTCCCAAAGGGCTTTGCTGATCTCTGCACTTCTTTCCTGGGACCCTCCCCCACCACCACCCTTTGCACACACCAGTGACCAAAGTGTGTCCAGTGATCTCACAGAAGTCGTCAAAAATGGTGCCTGCACCACGAATGTGCTCACAGAGACACGTGCACAAGATTCTGCACCCTTGGCCTTAACCTCTGTATGACTTAAGGTGCAGGAACATTTTTAACAGGTTATTAAAAAAAAAAATCCTTCTGGGAGGGGAAAAAAAGGCAGACAAAACAGCTCAATTGTGCCCACTCCTAACTCTGCTATTTGCCTACAACTTAATTCTGTGCCCACCCCACCCATCCCTGTTTTGAGTAACCAAAAAGAGACAACAAAAGCAACCTGAGGAGAGGTTTCTGGACTATTTTATCTTTCTCCATTTAGCTGGAGATATAAATGCTGCTTTGGGTTCCATAATCCTAGGGGCTGTGTTTACATAGTAAAATATATCCTACCAAATCAGGAAACAAGCATGGGAATCTCTGCAGTGAGAGAGAGCTAATTAGGTCGCCGATGGTGAACAAGAGAAGTGAGGGGGTCCAGGGGTGGGGGGCACAGGAGGGAAGAGGGAGAAGTGCTCCCCTCCTCCCTTCGCTTCTCTCCTTGGCCCCTTTCAACAGAAGGCACAGAGAAAGGCATCAGAAAGAGGCTGGAGTTTTAAAAGGCAGCTTTCCAACTTTGCACACAAACAGGTTAACAGGAAGGTACAGCAAAAATCCTCTCATCTGAAACACTCAGCAGAAACAAAACCTACCAACCTGACTCCATAGCTGCACATAGTGACGCTCTCTGCAAGTTACCTAGAAGTGTTTTGTTTTTCTTATACTTGAAATAGCTTTTACGATGTTACTTTGGCGGCCTTCTTTTCTCTCTCCTGGCGGGCAACAGAGGAAGCGGATGATGGGATCCAAGGAAGTGTGAGGGGAGAAAAGGAAGGATATGGCATTGTCTTTTTTGTGTGTGTTTCCTTAAACATATAGAGGTTTAATCGAACTCCCATGTGTTGAAATTGCTCCTCATATTACTGGTTTTACATGGACACAGAAACTAGGCACTTTAGAGGTGCACTTGCATGGCAGGCTGGGCCCCCCTTTTCTCTATTTTATTTTACTTTTTTAGTATAGTGGTACTTAAAATCACTGGTTCACTTAAAGAAAAAAAACAAACAATAAAATGTTAAACTCTACTAATGTACAAATAAGCTGAAAAGTTGCATTTTATGTGTATTTTTCGCCATAGCAGGTACTGTATTTCTCATGCTGGATTTAAAAAAAAAAAGAAAAAACCAACAAAAAAAACTAAAGGGTGGTGTTTATTGGATTGTGACAGGTTGCGTACTGAGGAACTAAGTCGCCGTCATTTCATTAAAACTGAGAGATGATGTAATGCATATATAAGAGTTTTCTGAAGGGTTTTTTTGGGCTTTTAAACAGCTTATTTTTGTTTTGTTTAGTTTTTTATTTTATTTTATTTTGGAAAGATATGATTGTATTATGTGCAACTCAGTTGCTTACATTATAACTACAAAATATTTTTGGGTTCCTGGAAAAAAAAAAAAACAAAAAAGAAAAAAGACTAATAAATGTGTTTGGCTGCTAAGCATTGATTGTGGTTTCCCGTTTTATTCTGCCGATTTAGTTTGTTGTTGGTTTATGTTTTGTTTCTTCTTCTCTCTCCCTCCCTGCTCCACCCACGGAAGCTCCCTGAAATTCAGCATCTGAACTGGGCCTCCATTGTGTCTGTCTCGCCCTGTGAGGTTTTGGCTGTTGGGGTGGTCAGCATGGCGGGGCGGCGGTGGGCCCAGGCTCCTCGCTGCCTGCCCCCAGTGCGGGGTCCCCAGTCTCTAAAAGAAACTGATATTCTCCTTCTGCCTCTTGTTGTTGTCTTGTTTAATCCCTCCTTGCCTTTGGAGTGAGAACCAGGGGAGCGGAGAGTAATGCCCGCCGGAGGCTGTGGCTGACGAGAAGCCAGCCCGCTGTTTCCAAAAATCCTGCACTCTGCGCCCCACTCTGCTCTGAGCACTGCCGGCTGGCTGAGGAGGTTGCCCCCATCCCAGCAGGCTCTTATATATGCTTAGCTGCTAAAACAGAGACTTGTTAGACATGTGGCCATGAAGCGCCTCTAGAATGGCAGAGGGCAGGAACGGAAGGAAATGAACATTTTCTAATTCCCAGGTACCATTGTCTGACTTCATTCTCAGAATGCTGTGCCAAGCAGATGGCAGCGAACCCATTTCACGAGGAAACCGGCTCAGAAGAATTTAATTAGCTAATAATAGGGAACACTGATTGCTTGCTTACTATAGACTGGGTGAGCCATGTAATGTACATTCACTTATTTCATTGAAACTCCTCTCAATCACTGGTGAAACCGTAACAGGAATCCAGATAGGATCCAGAAGTTACTGTGCCAAAATGCCCTCTGCAGAAAAGCACCTGGGTTTCTGAGAAAATGTTCTTAAGTGAGTCTGTTGTAGAAAGCGGTAGGCCATACACCTTCCAATTCTTGGGTGGTAAACTACGTCAATGCTGGGCAATGTGAGACGAGGTGAACGAGATGCTCGAGAACAGCTCGAGGGCCGGCCTGTTCCAAGCAAGTGCTATTTCTGAGGAATAGAGAGCGTTGCAGAAACTCTGAAGACATGTATCACCAAGGACTTTATTTTAAATTTGGGGTATTATAGAAATGTGTCAATGGCTAAGGATGGGGGGGTTGTAGAATGAAAGGTAATGGTTAAGACTTTAGCATCCGACTTAGCCTTCCTCACACCTGTGGGCCCTGCCATCACCTTAGGTGACTCCCAAGTGTCCACATGGAAAATCCGCCCTAACAGCCAGGCTTCTACGAAGTTTCTTCCTCCAGACCACCCCAGCCACACACTCCCATAGTCACCCCAAATCGCTCCCCTCCAGAATCACGAATTTCAGCATCCTTGACTTTACCCTTGTGTCTTCCCAACTGGTTCTCACTCCTGTGTTTTAAAACTCATCAGCCACTCCAGGACACTGACCTATTTACTTTCTTCCAACCCATCGGCGCTCTCTTTCCTCCTTCCTAATGCAGGTTAGGTTTTGTAGCCCATAATTTCAACAACATGGTTGCTAACGCCTTTAAATTCCCTTGCTGCTCCTGTTTTGACAACCATGTGACAAAATCCCCACTTTGGAAACCCTACTCTGTATTTTCTGCCAGTACCTAAGAGCAGCATGGCTCAGAAAAAAAGTCACGATGAGGCCAATAAGGACTCCTGTCAGTCTGTAACCAACCGGCAATGAGACCTTGACGTGACGCAGCGAGCATCCTAATGCACAGAGAAAGAAAATGAGAGGTGTCAGAAAAACCCCCTAAATTCCTGCTTCCAAAGTGTAATCAGAGAGAGGTGCTTCCCCCTTCAAGTGCTGCTTCCTTCAGTGTGTGGGACCCTTTCCCTTCCAGCCCCTTTCGGTACATTTGACTCTCCATCATCCATTTTTTCTTCACGTGTTCGGCTGGGAGCCCTGGCCAGTTGGCATGCTCAGTCAAGTCCATGCTATTGTAGACACCCTCCTGTGGGCCCCTGTCTGGCCCGTGCCCCACCAGCTGCTGTCCCATGTTTCTTCTGGAGAAATTTTCTCTCCTCCCCTTCCTGGGTCTCTGCCTCTGTCGTTCCCCTAAGGTCACTAACAGCCTCCCTAGTCCAGTGGACACGGCCATTTACCTCTTGATACCACAGCCCCTGGATTTCCTTCTATGCTCTAATGTGTTCCTTTACCTCTTCCATCTCTCTCAGCCTCTGTTGCCTTGGCCAGGAAATGTTGGACTTTGTCAGTGCTCAACCCCAGGCACCGCCTTGTTCTCTGTGCCAAAATCCTAGGTGGTGTCCTCCTCACTGGCCGCCTTTCTTAATCCCTTTTTCCCTCTGACTGAGCTCTAAATTTTAAATTTTGGAGTGCCCCCGGGCTCAGGCCCAGTCCTGAGTTTTGCTTTCCAGTCACGTTGATCCTCCGAGATGAGATCAACCAGCCCAGGCTGTTTTGTTTTGTTTGACAGAGACACATCGAGAAAGGGAACACAAGCAGGGGGGAGTGGGAGAGGGAGAAGCAGGCCTCCCGCCGAGCAGGGAGCCCAATGTGGGGCTCGATCCCGCTTGAGCCGGAGGCAGACACTTAACGACTGAGCCACCCAGGCGCCCCAACCAGTCCTGTGTTTTTAAAAATACAACACATGTTGCCATCCTACCCAAATTATATCTCCAACCGTGGCCTTTCTAATGTTCTGTCCAACTGACTCACTGTCTACTTCCAAGTCTAACGGTCAAATCCCTCCACCTTCCTCCTCAAATCTACTTCCCTGGTCTTAACCATCTCAGTAAATGGCACCACCGTTCACCTAATGGTTCAAACTCACAGCTGCTTCACACCACTAATTCAGCCATCAGGAAACCCTTCAGCTGTATGTTAAACATACTTACCCACACGGTCCACATCTTCCCACAAGCAACTCAGGTCCAGCCACCACTGCAGGAGGCCCTCCCCATCTGCCATCCTCCCCTCACGCCCACCCCAGATTTCTCTGCTGGTTCATGTCACTACCCTCCAGGGCTTTCTCCTTAAAATAAAAATCCAAATTCCACCATGGTCCGCAAAACCCATACTCAGTCTCATTCCCTGTGATTCTCAATCTCAATCCTACATGATCCCTGTTAGCTTTCCTTCTCTCAGTCACACCAAACTCATGCCCACCTGAAGGCATCATACTTCTTTTTCCACTGCCTGGAATGCTCTTGTCCCTGCATCATTGTGTGCTCTCTGGGCAAACGTGCGGTCTTAACTTGCTCATCCCATCAAAAATAGCTGTCACTGGGGCGCCTGGCTGGCTCAATCGGAGGAGCATGCGACTCTTGATCTCGGGGTCATGAGTTCGAGCCTCACATTGGGTGTAGAGATTACCTAAATAAATAAACTAAAAAAAAAAAAAAAAATAGCTGTCACACCCCCACCCCCACCCTAAGTTACTCTATGCTCTTGTCCTGCTGTATTTTCTAACAAGAAATTATCGCTTTCTTTTTATTATTTATTTGAGCTAGAGAGAGAGAGCAAGCACAAGGATGGGGAGAGAGAGGAGCAGAGGGAGAAGCAGACTCGCCACTGAGCAGGGAGCCCGATGCGGGACTCGATCCCAGGACCCTGGGATCATGACCCGAGCTGAAGGCAGACGCTTAACCAACTGAACCACCCAGGCGCCCTGGAACCTACCACTTTCTAAAATTATCTTG